AAAAAAAAAAAAAAAAAAAAAAAAAAAAAAATAGGAGGAAGAGGAGGAGGAAGGAAAAAAACATCACAAATTAATCTCCCCATGCTTTCCACACGCTGATGTTCCCTCTGAGGCCACACAAACCGAAATCTCCAAACACTTGAAGGAAGCTGGTCTTCTCCCTCCGGCCCTGCCTTTCCAGCCTAACCCCTTCACCCTCCCAGGCCCACACGCTGGTGACTCCTGGGGACATCTCAGGGAGACGGTGGCACAGCTGGCAAGACCAGGGACAGAAACTGATCCGAACTCAGCAAGCAGCGTGTGGAACTAGAGCCGGTGCTTTGACCGGGTGCGGAAAACGTCTGCCAGATGGAAGGAGGCCGCCCAAGAGCATTCTTATCACTTCCGTCTCACAAGAAGAATTACAAGATTGCGTCATGTATTAAGTAAACGTCGGGGCAATGTTTCTGGGCAATGATGGTTCTCCTCTTGCAATCAGGAGGAAAACCAGACCCTGTGTCCCTGCAGCTCCTATCTAACGGCCCAAGAGCATAACCTTCGGGCTCCTTTTAGTGGACTCCTTCCTTCCCCCTTTGCACCGCTAAAACAACACAGCCAGCAGCAAGTCCCAGCGAGCCTGGAGCCGGTGGTCACCCTGAGAACCCAAAGAACCCAGAGAAGGGATCGAACTCAGGATCTTGCTTTTGGGCGCCAAGGGGCAGCACCACTGAGCTACATCCCAGCCCCTTTACGGAGCCAAGTTCTATGCCTCCAGCTCTGTCCAGGTTGCCAGCCAGGGCACCCAGCACCTCAGCGAGGAGCAGGTACCATCTCTCACAAAGGGGGTGAGTTCAGAAGGGGACCAGACTGTGCACATTCTGTGTGCTCTTCAGCCAGCGAAACCGCAGGCCGTGTCACAGAAGAATGCACGGGACTTAGTCCTTCCCCTGTACCCAGTGAATCGTTGTTGGAGTGTAACCTATATTCTGATCACCAAATCACCAAAGGGCCTGGTGTGAACCTGTTCCAGAGAGAGAAAGTCAAGTACGATGCACCATTCACAATTTTGTAGACTGAAGGGATTTTCGCAAGAAAGATGTCTAGCACTCAGGAGGCTGAGGCAGGAGGATTGCTGTGAGTTCAAGGCCAGCCTGAGCTACAGGATGCGTTCAAGGCCAGCCTAGACTATGTAGCGAGACCCTGTCTCAAAAAAAGAAAATTAAAAAAAAAAAAGATATCTAGGCCTTGAATGGCCAAAGAACTAGAACAAAAAGCTAGAGTTCTCCACTTGCCAAACCAGAACTCATCTTCCCCAATCTGGCTGGATGCTTTCTTTTTTTTGTTTTTTCAGAGGATGCTTTCATGCACACAGTCAGCACTCTCTTGAAGCCCAGACCTGGGCAGCCGCTCTACAAGCTGAGCAGTGGGTTACCTGTGGCCAGGTGCACACGGCTACTTCCTGCATGCACACTTGCTGAGCACCCGCAGTGTGTCAGGTCCTTGATCCTTGGTGCGGCTATCAAGGTACCTGAGATGGGACCACACCCTGAAGGGTTCCAAGGCCAAATGGAAGCACAGAAGCCATAACTTGCCAGGTATGGTGGTGCACAGCTGTAAGCCCAGCACTTGAGAGGCTGAGGCAGGAGGATCACCACGAGTTTGAAGACAGCCTCCTGGGCTGCATAGCCAGACACTGTCTCAAAAAAAAAAAAAAATGGCTACCAAATTTCATGTGATGAAAAATTAATTTCCAATGTAAGTTAATGGTTTTTAGAGATGGGGCTTTTGGAAACCATTAGGATTTGATGAGATCTTAAGTGTGGGGCCCTGTAGTAGCACTGGAGCCTTTTTTAAGACACCAGAGCAAGCAACTTGAAATGCTCTGGGCTGTATGTGTAAGGCAGCAAAAACCTGGCAGACGTCAAGCAGAGGCAGGCACTATGCTGTTGGACTTTCAGCCTGCAGAACCACAATGCAAAAAAAGCTATATAGCAAGACCCTGTCTCACAATTTATTTATTTATTTATTTTGGTTTTTTTGAGACAGGGTCTCACTATGTAGTTGAGACTGACATGGAACTCACTATGTTGCCCAGGCTGATCTTGAACTCATGGAGATCCTCCTGCCTCAGCCTCCCAAGTGCTGGGATTACAGGCATGTGCCACCACTCCCGGCTGATTTTTCTTTTTTTGAGACAGAGGCTTGCCGTGTAGGTCAAGCTGGCCTTGAATTCACCATGCAGCCCTGGCTGACCTCAAACTCATGGCAGTCCTCCTGCCTCAGCTTCCCCAGGGTTGGGATTATAGGCATGTGCCACCATGCTTGGCCATAAATTGATTTTTCAAAGAATGTCTCCATTTCATATAATCTGACAAAATTATTCTCAGACAGTTGTTCTTAATTTCCTCCTATTTTCCTTTTCATATCTGTAGGATCTGTAGTGATAGCTCAGTTTTCATGATAATATTGACACTTCTGTACTCTTTCTTTCTTGCAGCCTTTTTCTTTCTTTCTTTCTTTTTTCTTTCTGTTTTTTTGAGACAGGATCTCTTGATGTAGTCCAGACTGCTTAGAACTCACAACACGACCCAGGCTGGTCTCAAACTTGTAGCAATCTTCCCGCCTCAGCTTCCAAATGCTGGGATTACAGGCGTGCGCCACCATGCCTGGTTCTAAAATATTTATAATTTTGATTGTACTGGTTCTTTTGACACATAAATTATTTAGGAATGTGTGGCTTAATATTTAAATATTATAACAATTTTTGTTTCTGATTCCAGGGATTGCAATAGTTAGCATTTTCTATGTGATTTCAACACTTTCAAATATGTTAAGACTGGGGTAGGGATTTAGCTCAGTGGTGCCACCGCCTGCCTCATAAACTCAAGGTCCTGAATTATCCCCAGTACAAAAAAAAAATAAACAAATAAATAAAAATGTTAAGACTCATTTTATAACACAGTGTATAGTATATTTTGGCAAATGTTTCATGTGCACTTGAAAATGGTGTGTCTTCTGCAGTTGTAAGATTAAGAGTTTTATAACTATCAACTAGATCGATTTGGCTAATCATACCATTCAAATTGACATCCTTTCGGACTTTTTTGATTTTTGTTTGTTCTAGTTGAGAGAAATGATTATGGATTTGCTCATTTCTCTTTCAATTTCTATCAAATTTTGCTTTTTAAATTCAGAAGAAATGTTATTAGATACATACATGGGTGTAATAGGTATGTCTTTGTCTTGGTTATTTTCTTATTGCTGGGACAAAATACTCGCACAAGTTAAAGAAGGACAGGTTTGTTTTGGCCTAGAGTTTGTAGAGGTTTCAGTCCATAGCTGCCTGGCTCCAGAACAAGGAGGCACAGTGGAGAGGCATCGCAAAGAGGAACAGTCCATAGCATGACAGACAGGAAACATGGACTTCTCAGGAGAGGAGGAGGGGATATGTGCACTCTTCCGGGCGCCTGCAGTGTCCGGCCTCTTCCCAACAAGCTCCACTTCTGAACATCACACCC